TCTATTTAACCCAATATCTAAAATATTATCATTGCAACATGTAATCAACATAACAAATTATTAACGAGATGTTTTACATTCTTTTTTCTATACTAAGCCTTTAAAAGCCAGGCTGTATTTGACATTTCTAGCACATCTCTATTCGGATGCTTAATATTCATCCACAACACTTGATCTGTATTTAGATTTCATAGATTCCATAACCAACTGTTTCAAAGTAGTGTGACCACCTCGTCCCAGTTTGCCCAAAACCGAGGCTTGGTTTTAAAACTGCAAGTCCCACATCCCAAAAACCTCAGTCCCAGGAAAGCCAGGATAGTTGGTCACCCTATTCCAAACATACTTGCACGTTTTCCAATAACTGAGTCGAGTATCAGTTTTTAAATTTAAATTAATTAAAACAAAGAAAATTAAAACTTCAATTTCTCATGGCACTAGCGACAATTCCAGTGCTCAGTAGCCATGTTTGGATAATGGCTACCATATTGGAGAGCGTGGGTCCAGGAGCCAGGAAGCCCCTTTCTCTGTACGTAAGACCAACTGTGGCGGATCTGGGCCCCGTTTTCTTAAGAGACCTGCGGTTTCCTCACAGCCCCTAAAGGGCATCAAGCAGAGGAATTATGGGGGTAGGGACACAGCTTAGAGCAGCTACCCTGGCAACATGAGGAGGGGTGGAATGGGCATTAGGAGGCCACTGTAACCATCTAGGGCAGGATGCTGTGAGCTGACATGGGAGCATGATGGGCAAGATGGAGAATGAGACTGGATTACAGAGATGTGCAATATATAAAATCATTAAGACTTGGTGATTGGTTAGATATGGGGGGGGCGGGGGCAGGAAGCAAGAACTAGCATTCTAGAATGATTCCTTGGTCAACTTTCACCATCCTCCCAACCCCAACCAGGTTGATTCCAAGGTATTCTAGTAACCTATTGCTGCTTAACAGACCACTCCAAAATGTAGTGGTATAAGACAACAATAATTATTTTACTCTTATCTGTCATGGTTCTAGAGGCTGATTGGGCTCAGCAGAGTGGTTCTTGATCAGGTCTCTCACGCATTCGTGTCCGACAAAGGCTGGGGCAGGAGTCATCTTGAAGGCTTCCTCACCATATCTGGAGGTTGATGCAGGCTGTCAGCTGGAACCTCAGCTGGGACTGTTGGCTGGAAAACTACCATGAGCTGAATTGTGTCTAGCCCCTCACCCCAAATTCATATGTTGAAGCCCTAATCTCCAGTACTGCAGAATGTGACTGTATTCTGGGACAGGGCCTTTAAAGAGGTAATTAAGTTAAAATGAGGTTATTAGGGTGGACCCTAATGTGATATGACTGGTGTCCTTATAAGACAAGGATATTAGGACACAGATACACACACAGAGGAAAGACTGTGTGAGGACACACAGAGAAGGTGGCCATCTACAAGCCAAAGAGAGAGGTCTCAGAAGGAAGCAACCCTGCTGACACCTTAATCTCGGACTTCTAGCCTCCGGAATCGTGAGACAATAAACTTCTGTTGTTTAAGCCACCCAGTCTGTGGTACTTTGTTACACAGCCCTCGCTGACCAATATAAACGCCTCGCTGTGGTCTGTCCACGTGGCCCACGCTTCCTCACAGCACAGCAGATGGGTTCCAAGGGCAAGCATCTCAAGAGGACCAGGTGGAAGCAATGTCAGCTGTTATGACTTAGTTTCAGAAGCAAGGGGGTGTCAGGGGGTGTCATTTCCTCCGTAGTCACAGGCCGGCTTGAATTGAGGGAACATATACCTATCTCCCAATGGGACGATTGTCAATGTCATGTTTTGAGAAGAGCGTGTAGAATGACAGATCTTGTTGCGGCCACAAATACAATGTGCCACACCAGGTTGGTAACTCGAGGGATTGGGGACGGTGTCGTTAACCAAGACAGGGATCACGGGCAGAAGAGGACAAGGTCTGAGTGGGTTGGACGATGAGGAAAGGTTTGAACAGGTTGGGTTGCCCAAGCCTGTGAACATTTAGGTGGATGTAGCCAATCATTAGGAAGTTAGTTATGTGATCAGGTCCTGGGGAACATGTTCTGTCTAAAATGAAAGTTTCCCCGGGCCAGCCCAGTGGCGCAAGCGGTTAAGTGTGCGAGCTCGGCTGCGGCAGCCCATGGTTCGCCGGCCCGGATCCCGGGTGCGCACTGACGCACTGCTTGTCGAGCCATGCTGTGGCGGCGTCCCATACAAAGTAGAGGAAGATGGGCACAGATGTTAGCTCAGGGCCAATCTTCCTCAGCAAAAAGAGGATGATTGGCATCAGATGTTAGCTCAGGGCTGATCTTCCTCACTAGAGAAAAAGAAATCTGTTGCCTTAGGGTCAGTCTTCTAATTTAGTACACATCTAGGGCCTGACCTCAATCCTCCCTGGAGACCAGGGAAGCCAGCAGACACCACCTGCTCCCCTTTCTCTAGGCCACTACAAATCACCAATATCTCCCTAGAAGGTGCTCATACACATGTCCCGTGCTCCATATTTTGCAGCTACTGCCCAAGAAACAGACCCCTAGATTGCCTAGCTCTGATACCCAATGGTGCCTGCATTCACAAGTCCCACAGGAGTGTAGCAAAGAAACAGCTTTTAACCAGCTATCCTCCCAGGGCTCAGTGCACAGGGAACAGTTGGAAATGCACATCTCCCAGTCTTTCCCTGAAAGAGGTCTATTTACACACTTTAAAGGCTGCTTTCTTGGGGTCAGACTTCTAATTTAGCATGCATCTAGGAACTGACTGATTCTCCCCAGAGACTGGGGAAGCCAGCAGATACCACCTTTGCCTTCTCATTCAAGATAGCTACAAATTGCCAATATCTCCCTGGAAAGAGCTTGTACACACATTTGGTGCCCCAGTTATTGCAACTGCCACCCAAGGGACGAGCCCCTGGATCATCATGCATTCATGAGTCTCAAAGGACTGTAGCAAAAAAAGAA